CCGTGACTAAGGTCACATGTCTATTAAATATTGTCAACAATGAAAGATGCGCAAAATACAACATCTTGTTTTGTGAAACATTTTTACTACGTCATTAAACTTTTTTTCTGTAAGATAGATCGAAATTTCTTCTTTCGAAGATTGCATTTCGATGAGTATAAACATTTGCATGCTTGTTTTAAACAAGTTGCGTAATTTTTTCTGCTCTTCGCTACTGTTAAACGTTAGAAAACGTAAGTTCGATAAAAGAAACAGTAACTGTGTTTTATCTAAATCGCATTCAAAACTTGTCTTTCCTCATTTTTAACTTCCAGATGAATATTTTATTAAAAATGTTGAGTCTACTCTAGAATCAAAACGCTCTACTGCCTATGATACTTAAAAGATTCTCAAATAAGCACATGATCGAAAACAATACCATCGATAGCATTTAGAATGTTCTCGGGCAAATCAACAACTCTTGTGGTTTATATATTAGACAAAATTTCTACAGATTTCAAATTCATCATTTTTCTCTTCACAGAATTCCTATTAATAAATGATTACGTCTTTTTTTATCGCAACAAGTGTATGTTACGGAACAGATTATAACTTTTTTTCTGATACTGATTCCGATCATAAAATTACCGTTAATATAATAGAATGTATTATTATTATATTGACTTATCTCTATCATTGACAAAAACACACACACACACACAAGAACACAAATACATTATACAACAAAACAAATATTTATACAAAAAAAATGAATAATATCTCGGATATTTTTTAACTACTTTCAGTTTTTACTATAGTGACTTGATCGTTTCCATTTTCTGATTTTTCATTATCATTATTTATTGTCGGTGGTAATGATAGATTATCAGTTGTTTTTATTATTGAATCATCTTTTTGTTGATTTATAGAAATTGTTTTTGGTATAGAATGACAATATAAACGTGAATTATCATTTAATTTTCTTTTTAAATCAGGTCCACATAATTTTTGATGTGAATCCCAATCACGATGTTGACAATATTGTCCACAATAACGTGCTATATTACAACCAGAACATGTTTCAATTGCTTTACGACCACAATTCCAACAATGCTAAAAATCAATTGAAAATTTTTAGAATTTTTTTTTTAATCAAATAAAATCATACTTCTGGTCCATCTTCTTGTCGATTAAGTAATGCATATGCTTCTTCAAATTTATGTGCTTTTAATCGTTGATATTGTTCACGTTCACGAAGTAAAATTTCATTCGATTTTTGTTCAGTTTGTGAAATCGCTTTTTGTAAATCAATTATTGATTGACGTTTTATTTCTAAAACAGTTTCTTCTAAAATTTTAATATAAAGATTAAAAAAAAAAACAAATATTTGAGATATTTATCATTTACCAGCTTTTCGACGAACTTCAGCAATACGATCATCAGTTTGTGATAATAATTCTGCATGTCTTCGTCTCCATTCAAGATCATTTGTTTCAATAAGACGACGAAGATGAATATCTTTTTGTTGTAACATAAATAAAACTCTTTTACTTTTTGTTACCATTTCAAGTATATAATTAAGCATCTAAATGTAGCAAAACAAAATCTTTAAAACTAAAAATGAAAATAAATTTTACAAACATTTTCCGCATGCTTCCAATCATCTTCTACATCTTTTAAATCGCTTGTATATTCGCGTAGATCTTTAATAAAATAAATAAATTTTTAAGAGAGCAATTATGAAACCATTGAGTATACGACATACTAGATATAAACAAAATTTTAGCGTCGATTATCTTTTCTTTCAAAAGCTAGTCAATAATAACTTTTTACTATTGTCATATGCTTATGAGAAAAAATAGCATATGTACACAGTCAAGGTTGTGCTTATTTTCTTCTCAATGAATCATTCAAATTTTTAATAAATTATACTAAAAACTAGAGAATTAAACAGTGAACAAAATGAACTATTTCATTATAAGACAGTGGTAACCAACTCAAGTTCTATAAGACCAACATGAATGAAAAATGATTCTTTTGGTAGACTTAAAATATTCATCTGATAATAATCTATTGCAACTTTTTATTTACTACAAAATGGTTAAATAATATCCGAAAAATAAATGGTATATTTTACGGTGACACGGAATTCACATAACTTTCTTACATAATGGTATAACATTCGGAATTAGTGCTAAAAACTTCATTAAGTCAAATACATGAAAAATTCACCTTGATCACTTAAAGCTACATTTTTTCTTAAAATTTTCTCCTGTAGTCCGTTTTTTGCAGAAAAAATTTCTCTAGAATATATTTCACTTAAAGTGGTATTTATTTTGCTTTAAAATTGAGTCATTATAATGAAAACTGCCGAAAATTTGTTTTTTCTATTAAAAAATCATCAAAAAACATGATGTGGGAGGTAGATGTAAACTCCGTTTCACCTCGAACATACCGTTTATTTTTGAATATTTTTTTGAATCATTTTCTGAAAAATAAAATTCAGCTTGGAGCTCTATGATTTTGAATTTTGACAGACGATAGATTGTTATCAAATGGATATTTTAGAGCTATCGCAAGAGTCATCTTTTATCGGTGATGGCCTTATAAAACTTGAGTCAGTCAACACTGTATTATATTGGCATAACTTATTTTGTTCGGTTTTTTCTCATAAGTATATAATAATGGTAAAAAGTTGATATTGACTAAGTTTTGAAAGAAAGGCTATTGGCCGCTGAAATTCTGAGGTTGGTGGTTTCAGATACCTATACATTGAATGCACAAAAGAAAAAATTCTTTTTTTATCGAGTGCCTTGTATACTCTCAATGACCTCATAATTCTTCTCTTAAAAAATGCGAATTTGATATTTACAAGAACTGAATGCACGTTCTTTATCAGAACGTGTTGATGTTGTTATCGTATTCATATGTGCACGATGATTAACTGATGAACGTTTTGTTGCATACGAACGTTCATCAAGTTCATTTGAACTAAAAACAAAAAGTGCAATAGAAATAAATCAATCTTAACAAAAAAAAAATCTTGTTTTACTCGTTGGATAATTTTCTTTTTCCATTTTCATTTAATTGTTCTTTCGATGGGCTTAGATCATTTTCAAGTACATCACGTGATACAAATATTAATTCTTCATGTTGAGAAATAAATTGACTTGTTGATTGTTTCGACGGACGAGCCAATTGTGAAAGATCTTTTTGTAAAAGAGGTAATGTTGACTAAAAGAAAAGAAAATATTAGTAAAAAATAATATATTTCTTTTTTTTTAAATTACTACTTTTAAAAATGGTAATGCAAATGGTCTTAATGGAAAATTTGTTGTTGCTTGTAATTTTCCATGAAATTCTTCGACAGATAAAGCATTATTCTAAAACGTTTGATATTTTATAATTTGTTTTTTTTGAAAAAACAAAATCAATATAATTTTATTCTCATTAAAGAAAAACTTACAACAAGAGCTAATATCAATGCTCGAACACGTTCACCTATTTCATTCGATATATCTGAACCAAAATAATATAATGTACTAAGAAAACATCGTAATTTATCTAATTGTTTCGATGGTACTTGTATCGGAGATATTGGTCGAGTAGTTGTTGATGTTTGTGTCTGAAGAGAAGATAAAGGAGGTGATTGTATATGACTTGCTGCTGTTGTTGTTATTAATGATGATGATCCATTATTATTATTATTATTATTATTATTATTATTATTATTATTACTATCATTCACTGTAGTCATTGATGGTAATGAAATCGAACTTTCATTTGTATCAGTCGGCATAGATGATCTGAAAGAAAACAAAAAAATTAATTTTCGAATAATCGTCAAAATTTCTCCATCTTTCTTTCCATACTTCATCATTGACAGCTGTCACTGTGAACAAGCTGTTTCCACTTACAAATTATAAGTCCAAAAAGAAAAAAGAAAAGAATATTTCATTTATACATAAGAAAAAGATCTCTAGTTTATTTTATTTCTTATATAAAAATTCATTATAGAATATTTCATGATCGATTCATAAAATAAGACAATAAACAGATATGCATATAAATTGTCCAGATTTTATCTTTAAGGTATAACAATACAATGCTTACCTGATTCTTCTCATATATATAATGCCAAGTGAACAGACCGAAAAAAACGACAATGAGAGAGAAATATTTCCAGATGGTTAGTAATTCTCTGAACATTAAAAAACATCAACAAGTAATCGAATGAAATGTCTTGCTTATTTTCTCTCTGAGAATAATCACCATCTGTTACTTATAATCCGAATGATACAACAAGTGGCAGACTGTATATGATGTTACAGCTGATTTTCTTCTCAAACTTAATAGGTAGAACAAAACAACATTGGACATAGAAGAAGAAAGAAGAGAAAAAAAAGAAAGCAACTGTGCAGATGTAGAAATGTATGGTAGCCAGAGAATTCTTGTTTGTCAGGGGAATAATGATATACAGATGGCAGACATTTTGCTGATCTGCCAGATGGTTCAGATTATTTTCTTGTAGAAACGAACGTAAAAAAAACGATGGTAGCTATTTGGCCAAATGTTCATTATAAAAAATGTTCAAGGTCATGTTAAAGAAATTTTCACTCACATCATATATCATTGAGTTACATGGTACAATGAGAAAAACAATCAATTCTTTCCGTCTGTTCACAAGTTGTTCTTATGTTGATTCGGAACGTCAAAGAAAAGCAAAGAGCAATTGCCCTTTTCTCGTCATACCAAGAAAGAAGGAAAAAAAGAACAGCTGTATGAAGCGAGGCAAAAAAAACTTGACGAAGACAACAATATATCCACAGCCAATAATGACGGAAGAAAGATATAATATTCCTTTTTCTTTTTTTTTCTATTCTTCTTTCATCTATACACATAAACATAAAACTGTTATTTTTATTGTAGATTGTTTTTTGTTTTGTTTTTGTTCAATAAAGAAAGAAGAAAGACACAAACTGAGCACACACAAATAAAGAGAATAAAACTACTTGGATGGACTAGAAAGCACGAATAGGTATTGGTTTATTTGTTTTAAATGATACTTGTAATACACGATTACCAAGTGTAAAACCATTAAGTGAATTGATAGCCATTAAAGCTTCATCATAATTAGTCATTGTTACAAAACCGAAGCCTTTACATTTTTGTGTTTGAAAATCACGAATTATTTTAACATTTTGTACAGCACCAAATGGTCCAAATAATTGCCATAAAATACTTTCTTCAGTTTCAGGTGCTAAATTATAAACAAATATACACCAACCAACAGATGCTATATCTTAAAAGAGATAAAAACAATTATTATTTAGAAGATTTTTCTCGATGAATCTATTTACCAGTTGATGATGATAATGTTGTAGCTGATGCTGCTGCAGCAGCAGCTGCCGGTAAATAAGAAGCTGTAGCAGCGGCAGCAAAGAAATCAGCCGGTGATAATGGTGAATATCTATATGAGAAAATAGAAAACAAGACTTTATTTATTTATAAAAATGTTCAAATGTTATATTGTATTAAGAAGAAAAAAGCTTTTGGATAAAACAAAATAAAAATTCACTTACCGATATTTTGATCGTTCGTGCGTTTCTCTATGCATAAAAACTTATATTTTGCAAAAAACAATACGAGCATGAAATCATATATAAATATATATGTCACAGGAATTATAAAGCAGCATACCTGTACCTGTTTAATTGTTGACGAATAGATGGTACAGTTGTAAGTACAGGCTGTTGTGGTGTTGGAATACCGGTTAAATAAGATGGTGCTAATGGTAAACCAATCATGGATTTAGCAGCATTTGGTGTATTAGCAAATTTCACATTTATTGGATCTGCAAAACCTACAATAAGAATTCAAATTGAATTTCGTCGTTTCATTCTAAGAATCTATCAATTAATTCGATCTGTTTATGTCTCATAAATAAAAATTGAATGCAGTTGTTAAAAAACATGAAATTAGAACTTATATGTGTCATTGTCAACAGATTCATCTAAAAGTATTAGCCAAAATCAGTTTCATTTTCAAGATAATGAAAATCTTTACTGGAGCCGGAAATTTTAGTATAGTTTGGCGAGAAAAGGTCGCTTTTAAGTTGAAATTACATTCAATTGATAGAGCCTAGTAAGTAGGTATATACTCTAGAGAGTGTGGATCGAGCTGTTGGACCTTTGTTACTGAGATATCGAATTTTTAGTAGATTTTTCCTGCAAGGTTCTTGTTGTCAAACAAAATCATACTTTTGAATTGTGACTTGAAACTTCACCTACACATAGTCGCTCCGATTAGACTAACTTGAACTTTTCAATAAAGTTTCTCCGAGATATGAATTTCTCAAAATATACGTGCTTTACTATGGTTATTGCGGATAATTTCGATATTTTAATAGATTCATATCTTAGAGAAATTTTTTCTAGAAGCTATACTGATCGAAACTTTTATACAAACCATGTGTCAGATCAAAGTTCAAAAGTATGAATTTGCTTCGAAACTGGGTCTCTGCAGAACAAGTCTACTAAAAATTCGATATCTCAGTAACAAAAGTCCAACAGCTCAAACTACTGTGAGATGTTTAGTTTATCACTTGGAAATCTTCCATCGGGAGAACAATGAAACGTATTCATGGAAAAAATTTCATATTGAAGTTCCATAGCACAAGTTTTTTCCTAAATATCAAAGTACTCCTTTCAACTTATTGCAATCCTATCAAGCTTTATTCTCATTGATAATACAAAATGATAAGTCGTGAGAAAATGATTCATTTCGAGTTTTCAAAAATTCTTTGAATTTAGCTAATTATATGCTCAGTTTCGTCTAATAACTTGATGGAAGTCATTCCCCTTTCCAAATGCTAAAATTAAAATTTTTTCGATTTTTGTTGTAGCTTCGAAGTATCTTCTGTCAAATGTCATACAAATGATGGCTCTTCATTGTTAGTTAGTACTTTGGTTAAACTCAACTCTCGAAACTCCCTAGCAGAAAAACTCACGCTGCAATTATTCTTTGTATAGAAAAGTCTTCTAATGTTAATGCCTAAAAGTTCTGAGAGCATGAGTCATGGTTCCTCTAATACTGTTGTACATGCTCAACCCATACTCACATCCCTGGAAAGGGGAAAGATGGTTTCCTTAAGTATTAAATTCAATGACTCAAGAACATCCTATATTTAGTTTGATAAAATTCATCATAACAAAAATAGATTTTAGTTTTTCGATATACTATAACTGTATTCGATAGTATAACTTTGAACATTAAGATTACTCTCCAATTCAAGTTGTGATGGACAAGACTCTTTATTCGATAACATTTGGGCTTTCTCGTTATCTGTTAATTAAGAAAAAAAAATATTCTTCAAGAATTTCCTACCTTTTGGAATAGTGCCATTAAGTTTATTAATAGCCACTTCAGCTTCGGTTCGTTGATCAAAACGAATAAATCCTACACTTTTCGATGCACCTTAAAAGAAAACACAAAAATGAAATCCTTTTTTTTAATCAATAAATCGTATTTTATTTTCTTAAAAATAATAATCAAGCAGAATTAAGATAAACATGCAGTTATATCTCAAATATCTTCTCTACCTGCTTTCGGATTGCAAAGAATTTTCGACGAAATAATACAACCAAAATCAGCAAACATACTCTCAAGTTCCTGCTGAGTCATCGAACGTGGGAGATTTGAAATATAAAGATTGGAAAATTTGATTGACTCCGAAGAGGGACGAGCAAAAGAAACCTGAAATTAAATTAAATCAAATAAAAAACAAAGCAACAAAAAAAAAAATTATATTCAATAAGCAGCAGAGGTCAGGCTTTTTCATTTTTTGAAAATATCTTTCTTAATAAACCTGTATTAGAATCTGTTAATATTCGACTTGTTATTATTTTTCCGCATGACGTAAAATAATTTTCAAGTTCTTTTGTTGTCCACTGTTTTGGTATACCACATATATATAAATTAGCAAATTTAATTGTTTCCGATGATGGACGTGCAAAAGATACCTGTATCTTCTGAATTTTTATTTCAAAAAAACATTAAAAATTTACTTTAATTGTTTTATTTTGTAATCGAAGACCATTCATTGTTTTAACAGCTTTATCAGCATCTTCTATACGAATAAAATTAACAAAGCCATAACCAAGACTTTGACCTGTTGTTTTATCTCGTACAAGTTTACATGATTCAATAGCACCAATTGTACCAAATAAATCTTTGATTTCATCTTGTGTCATTGTTTGTGGTAAATAATTAATTATTAAATTCGTACGAATTTTATCTGATAGATTTGATTCATCATCTGTTAAACTACCACCACCAATTGATCGTGTTTCACTTGTATTTCCATTTTGTCGATTAAATGCAGCCATTTCACTATAATAATATTCGTCTTCGTCTTGTTGATTATCAATTAATTCTTGAGATTTATTAGAGGTTGGAGTTAAGACCTATGCATGAACAAATATTTATTTGGATATATATATATATATACATATAATAAAAAAAATTCGTGCAATGTTTTTCTATAGAAATATTCTTCTTTATACCTTGTAAACATGCCAAGATCCGATCATCATTTTGTCTGTATGAGAATAGAGAAAAAGAATCGAAGACCGGAACCGGCTGATGCCATGCCGAGCTGACGCTTTTGTCTTTTTTTTTGTTTGATTATTCATTGAGTCTCATTATATATATATATATATATATAGATATCATTTTGATTTTATTTAATCAATTTTAGAAATTTGAAAAAAAAAATCAAAATGATTAATTACATTTCAGAAACAAAAAACAAAGTATGTTTTTATTCAAAGACGAAAGAGACAGATTTAGTTGATTTGCATATATTCTATTAGATACTCTCTCATCCAGAATAAGAAGAGGAAACAAATCAGTTTTGCTCGATGATGACAAGCTCGTTGATCAATGCTCGTCCAAAAGAAGATGACAGGAAACAGATATTTCGTTTATTTCTTTGGCTTGACATTTGTGACACATCGACATTTTTTTCTCAGAAACAAAAAAAAAAAAAAAGAACTGAACTCACATACACACACATACACGAGGTGATTAGCATTGGTTCGTTCTTTCGGCTCATTGACTTCAGCTGTTTGCCTTTCAGCAGTAAACACACAGACATACATTATATTTTGACCATTCGTTTATTAGTTTGCTTATTTATGTGTATCGTGAGAAGAGAGAAAAAAGAAGATTTATGCCTGGAATTAGCACATCATCATAGATGTATGATGTTTTTTCTATTAGAGTATGTGCTTTTTTTTTGACACGTAACTATCACAATATCGTGATGCGTAATTGAATGAAAATGGATTGTATTTTTCTTTTCAAAAAGATGATCGAATAAACGCAAGTAAAAAAAAAAGAAAAGATTTGATTACCTGAAGTGTTCTCATATTTTTATCTGAATAGATAATAACACTAATGAAAATTTGAAAAAGTGATAATAATCAAATAATAGAATAAAAATATAATGATGATGATGACGATGATGACAAGAAAAAAAAGAAATGAAAGAAAGAAGACTGATTTATTGATAAACACATTGATCATACGTTCTCCATCGGGTACCAACTACTTCTTCTCTCTTTTGGTTTTTTATACTAATATGGGGGTAGTCGTCGATGGCGTTTTTGCTCTTGTACAGAACACGTAGTATCAGTAATAGGCGATAAAAAATATAGAAGAGAGAGGAATCGAGCAATGGCGATAACGGATATGTAATAGATGAAAATAAAAAGTCTAGATGATGGATCGATCAATTAATGTAAAAACAAAGCATTATCCATAAAAGCAACAACAATACTAACAATGTAAAAAGAAAAGCCACGCTAGGAAGTGATCTAGAAGAAGACAAGATTTTATCGATGACAGCTATTTTAATCACATTGAGTACATATCAATATTCACTGAATATGAAAGTGTTTTGACACACACACATACCTGTTTATTCGATTTTTGTGTTGAATGTTCAGATGTTCGAGTGTGATCTATGAAAATCAAATAATAAATTTTATCCAAATATTTTTATATACCTGTAAGAATATCTTTATTTGATTAGGCGAATTGAAAGAGGAGAAATAGATACAATTCAACAAGGCGCGAAGGAAGGTTAACAACCGATTAACTAATACGCACATTAGGCGGGGAAAACAACAAAACGGGAAAATATATTGGCTTGTTAAACTTACATCGTTGTTTTTTCATTGATGATGAAGTTCTCTGCATATCTTCGTTGTTAAATGCTTTTGAAGCTAAACGTTTCGACGACGTCTTGAACGAAGAAAATTCAAGTTGATTATCATGCAAGATATAATTATATACTTTCTCTCTTTTTTTTCTCATTGCAGATAAAATACAAAACAAAACAAAACAAAAAAGAAAAATGCTCAGATAAATCTCCTTAACAGAAGCAAACAAAAAAAACAGAAGAAGACAAGAATCTACTTACTGTGATTAGGTGTTGATGCTTATTCTCTAATGAAATCAATACGCAATCTATGAAGAGAGAGTGGAAAAAAAGGAATAACAAATGACTGAAGTGTCAATTCGTTATGTGTCTGCTGCGGTTTTTTCGCGCAAGTCACCAAGTGAACACGTGCCATTCAAAAGATCAACTTGATTTTCATGTCGTTAGAAACGAAACAAAAAAACACGATAAAACATCTACATAAATGTTTGTTAAGTATAATCAATAGATGATAGAGAAGATTCAAGAGAGTTACAATGATGCAAAAGAAACATCTGTCATAATACACGAATCAAAAATATAATGTTTGTCCTTTTTAGCTTATTGGCAAATAAAATCAGTAACGTTGAATTGAAGAGAAAACCCATACAAATTCGAAAACAATAAGAATCAAAGTTCAAGTTAAACAAGTATAATTAAGAAGATAGTTTAATATAATCTAGTATAACAATTGTACATATCTGTGATCGTTTATTTGATGTTTTCTTATACAAATACGTACATATGAGATTATCATATAAGCACCTAGATTAATTGATAAGAAATGATCATGAACACATTCCATATCTGTGTTGCCAGGTGTTGAGATAAAGATTTCGGAAATTGTCAATGTTATTCATAAAATATAACCTTCGATATTAATCAACATTGTTGATCTTTTTTTCGATTTGAATAAGAAAATTTCTTATGACTTCTATTGACATATAATTTCATTAATCAGTGAATTAGCAAAAGATCAAGTAAGACTTATTTCTATTATCAATATAGCTCCAGACTCAGTCATCCATTTCTGACAAGAAGATGTCGTTAGTCATCAATAAATCAAATGATTAAACATTCAATAATCTCAAATTAATTTAAACTGTTTTAAATAAATTTGATATACTTGTTTTTAATTCTTTCTTAAACAATCCTCAATGTTCCTTGAAAAAGAAAGCGACAAAACTTTATAAAGGCTTTAATATCCTATGTAATGGAACTTTGAAATGACTCATCATAAGACTGGATGATGATCATATCAGTTGGTTCAATCTTTTTCAAAATAGATCAATAAGTTAAATAAATATGCCATGATTGAATATTATATAACAATATTCCATAGTATTATGCTTATAAAACAATGTCAGCAGTAGTTAGTGATTTAAATTCAGCTGCTGGTATTAGCAGTAATCGTTATTTATCATTTGATTTTGTTTCAACATCAAGTCCACATGATGAATATGAACTTATACAACGTATTGGTTCAGGAACTTATGGAGATGTTTATAAAGTATGTTAAGAAATTCAAAGAAAAACTAATATATATTCTTTTATTTCAAGGCGAGACATATTCCAACAGCATCGATGCGAGCTCTTAAAGTCATTAAGCTTGAAGCTGGTGATGATTTTAATATAATTCAACAAGAAATTCTTATGATGTTACAATGTAGTCATCCAAATATAATTGCCTATTTTGGAAGTTATTTAAAGTAAAAACAGAAATAAAGTAACAATAAAAAATCAGTATTCTTATATCAATTGTTTAGACGAGATAAATTATGGATTGCGATGGAACTTTGTGCTGGTGGTTCAATGCAAGATATTTATCATGGTTAGTTAAGCGATCTTTATAGATTTTTTTTTTCTTCACGATAAATATTTTTATTTTTTTAGTTTATGGACCTCTTGGTGAATTACAAATAGCTTATATACTTAAAGAAACATTGAAAGGTTTAGATTATCTTCATAAAAATGGAAAAATGCATCGAGATGTCAAAGTAAAAGTTTTCTCAAAAAAAGAAACGCAATAATTTCATTTTTCTTTCAAATAGGGTGCTAATATCTTATTAACAGAAGATGGCAATGTTAAATTAGGTAAAAGATTATTTTTAATTTTAATCTCTAGATTTAATCGTTTTTTTTTCTTCAGCTGATTTTGGTGTAGCAGCAAGCATAACAGCGACTATTTGTAAACGAAAATCATTTATTGGTACGCCTTATTGGTAAGTGAAAAAACAAAGATTATAAGATACTATTGATCAATTTAGGATGGCACCTGAAGTAGCAGCTGTTGAACGAAAAGGTGGTTATAATCATTTATGTGATATATGGGCTGTTGGTATAACAGCAATTGAATTTGCTGAATTACAACCGCCAATGTTTGATTTACATCCTATGCGTGCACTATTTTTAATGTCAAAATCAGGTTTTAAGCCACCAACATTAAAGGATAAAATGAAATGGACAATAACATTTCAAAATTTTGTTAAATATGCATTAACAAAAAATCCTAAAAAACGACCATCAGCTGAAAAATTACTTGAAGTAATGAAATGAAAAATTTTGAGAACTTCGTGGTTTTTTAAAGTGATTGTTGTTTATTATGTTTAGCATCCATTTCTTCAAGGAAATTTAACATCAGCTATTGCACGGGATTTACTTGATAGAGTACATAATGGTGCAACAAGTAATCAGATATCAGAAGATCGAGATGATGATGATGATGATAGAGTTAGTCCACTTTATTTTTAAATATCATTAATTAATTTCGTGTGTTTTTGTATTAATTAAGAATAATTCTCAAGCACCAAGAAAAATTACATCAAATAAAGAACAATCTATTGCATCTTTATCAAGTAAGATTAAGATTTTTGTTTTTTTTTTTATAGAAAGGAGAAAATAGGATGCATATGAAAAATGATTTAGCTGATAAGAAAAAAAAATATATGAACAAATTTAATCTAACTTCTTTTCATTTGTTGAATTCGATAATTATATAGACATTTTTTATTATAACTCAAACTTTGTTGATCTATCTTAAATGGTTAGTAAGAGAAAAAAAATTCAAGTTTTATTAGAATCGTATCATAAACAATTTCTAATGTTACTCATCTCGTGATGTTAAAAGAATAACATTTTTTTCAATGTTATATTATTCTCAATCATCTTTGAATAGAAATAAATATAATGTTACTATTATGGAACGATAATGAGACTATTTGAATTAATTATCGAAACTGATCAACATTTTTTTGTTCAAGTGATCTCTAAAGCATTCGAATGTGTGCCTATTTTATGGTTATATGTATAACAACTACTATCCAGACTTAA